TCTCTCTCTTCTTTTGTTCCTTTCTCTCTAACAAATCTCAGTCTTTCTTTTCTTTATACTTTTCTCTTCGATCTTAATCTGATTATTTCTTGCTAGCTATCGCCTCTCTTTTTATTCCCATTTGCCGCCACCATTTTATCTTTCCCCAGTCCCAGCGGGATCATTAATAATTAAAAACTCCTCATTAACAAATGAAAACGCTCGCAACAATTTCTTCCACTCTCTGCCTCTTCCCATCTCAGCTACCCCCACCTTCCCCAATATGGGGTGGTTACTACCTCTGCCTTCCACTTCTAATGGCTCCACCCTGCTAACTTCCTAATGATGGCCACTAGAATCGAGTTAACAGCTTGTGTTAAGCGCCGAGAATGGCAAACAGCGATGGCGCCGATCAACGAGCCAGCGAGTAATAGAGGCGGGCATGCGTCCCTCTGAGCGCCGTCCCATTGTCGAGGCTTAGAGCTGATGTTGCGGCCAACCAATGATAGCGGCGCGGAGGAGGTGCCTACTTAGTTATCACTCTCCCTTCGCCTTCTTTCACTATCACACGACGCCCATGGAATATGACTGACGAATCTGTCCTCCTCACCGCTTCACCCCACCCCCTTTTTTTTTTTTCCTTTTCATTTTCACTTTTCCATTCTTTCACTTTCATTTTCGCTGCTTCAGACTCTCTTTCACTTTCACTTTCACTTTCATTTCTTTCTTTTTGTCGATTTCATCTATTTGCAGGGCAGGGGTCTCTCTTTCAATGTTTTTTTTTTTAAATCAGACCCTCGCCTTTTTACCTTTTCTTTCCTTTTTTATCCTTCAATACTTAAATGTTTTTCTCCTTTTCCAAATATTTACTAATTTTTCAGTTGTTTTACTTTCCCCAAATCCCTAAGCATTTTACTTCTGATTTTCTCTTTCTTCATTCTTGCTCAATTTCCCCCTCTCCCTCTCTTTCTCTTTCTGTCTGTCTCTCTCTCTCTCTGTCCCCCCTCTCTCTCTCTCAAGTTTATTTCTCTTTTTGTCTTCTCTTTTCCAAACTTCCATCACATAGGCTATTTTTGTAGCAAAACTTTCTCACCTTTGGTTTCGTCTTCCATATTTTATTCGACCTCTTTATTTCGATTTCCTCATCTTCCTGATTCCCCACCTCTCTCTCTCTCCCTCTTTCTCACTCTCCCTCTCTCTCTGCAATAGCCTCCCTACTCTTTTCTCTCACATTTGATCTATTAACCTCCACCGCCTTCCTATTGTTTCTCTCCCTACCCCTCTCTCACCACCCTTCCAAACGCCGTCGCAAATCACTCTCATTCTCTTTCCTTCCTTCCGCCCCCTTCAGTGCAAATGTCAAATTACATCCGTACACACATCATGATGATTACCGTTATCATTAATACCCTGATTGCCACAAACAAACACATCTTTGCCACTACTGCAAAAAGACGAGTCGGTACTAATATTCCCGGCTCCAATGTCTCTACGGCCTTCTTCACCGCTTCTCATCTTGAAGACCCATCGTGCTTTAACACTAGCCGTGACGTTGAAACTACCGAACCAGCACGATCACTACCACAACCTCCATTTGAACGTTTACCCATGAGAAGAGCGTTACTACACAATCTTCAGAGGCTTTCGTTCTTTTCTTTGTCTTTGTTTTCTTATTTCATTTACTTACTTATTTATATTCGTCTGGTCAATCAAAGTGAATTATGTCAATGAACAGGTAAAAAACGGATTTGAAAATTGACCTCCAAAACAAGAAATCGCATTTTCAGTTTTGCCCCGAAATCTGATTCTTTTATTTTGTTATTTTGATTTCATTTTGAGTTTTATTCAATTATATTTATGAGTCAGTGATTTTTTTTTTTTTTCGTCCACTGAAAACTTCAAAATATTTGTTTGGAAAGCGTAATGATGATAAAAAAAGGAAACATAAAAACGAGTTCCCCTCCTCTTTCATAAGGTTTTTTTTTTTTTTATTATTGTTATTCAGCACGTCAGCAAAATTATTATTATTAGTATTTATTTATTTATTCACTTTTATTTGCTACAATCATTCACCAAGTCTTTCATCTGAGACCTAAGATAAATGAAGGTTGTTCTAGGAAGTTAACTTATTATTATCATTATTATTATTATTATTATTATTATTATTATTATTATTATTATTATTATTAAAGATACTAACTTGCAAGGAATCACATTTTTCAATCATCTAAAATGATAATTATGTTGATAAATCAATTTAAAATATTTGATATCAAGTACTCTACTCATTAGAATTCGTTAAAAAAATCTATGAAAAATTACATTAATCATTTTCAGTTTGTCTTTTCTTAATTAAGAAAATTCAGTTCTTTTATTTCATTAAATGTTAACAGCTTTTAAAAGAACAAAATGATAAGAATAGGTTTAATTATAAAAGCACCTCGTTAATTTTACACCTACATCAATATCTATCTATCTATCTATCTATCTATCTATCTATCTATCTATATACCTACCTAAG